CGCTCAGGGGGGGGGGGGAGAGAGAAGGGAACTGAAAGATTCCAGAAGCATGTCTCGAAAGACAGGCGATCCGTTCAGGTTGCTTACTTGCACTGCTACTTTTCCTCCAATTGATGAACTCCGAGAAGATGAAATGATAGAGCAGTCAGTGTTGGTCGCGCTGAAGTGCATATTTGGACCAAAGAATGTTTGCTTGATCCGTTCGGCGCCCGCGGCAGTGTCCTTATCCGCCCAGACTAGCCCCACCAGCCTTTGGGGATCGAAAGGGAAATGGGGATCAGCTCAACGAAGCTAGATTGAAGTGAATTTTGGGATGGTTGTCTCAAACGGCAGCAGCTACAACGACTGCTGAGAAGCGGCGCCTCTTAGCTGAAAATTGTCTGAAACATTGCGCAGCTGACCTAAGAGGTGCAATTTTCTTCTGTCACACTTGTGCTAAAAGCAATCGCATAAATTATTCGCACACCTTTTTTATCAGGGAATGTGATTAGTATTGAAGTTGAGTGAGGCCACTGTTTTCATACGACTGTTGTTACCGGTACCTTAATCCCTAACTGTTACCCCGGTTAACTCTAGAACATGCTGGGATCTAGCCGGTCTAAATGCGAAAGTGTTGTGCTCATAACTAGGCATTCTGGATAACTTTTAGTGAAGCTAACGAGCTGGAGGAAGAGATTTAGTCAGCTAATCAAACAAATCAACGAAAACTAACATATGATTATATTTGTAAATAAAAAAAACTAATTAAGTAGTAAGATAGCGATAATAAAGTATATAGAAACAGGTCATTGGTAAATAAAGAGTTAAGTTGAGTAGTGATAGTGCAGAAAACAGGTTGAGTAGTAATACTCTCAAAGAGTGGCGACATTCCTCCACGCGGTGTATTTGGCTTCTTAATGTACATTTTGATCTGATAATGGATTACAATGCGAGTTTGTTGTACAGGCGGCGCGAATAATATGCCTTCAATTCAGGAATGAATCGCAATCATTTATTTATGTATAGTAGTCGTCATTGCAAGTATGAGGAGGGTGGTGTGCGGAGAGAGGAAGTCGGGGGGATAAGGTAAGGCGATCCGAATTACGGGGCGGCGCTGAATGGAGAGGGGACAGACGCGCAGGTGAGCAAATCATCAAATTAAGGGAAGAAAGAATATTGCTAATTGAAAGGCTTATGGGATGTTGCATGCATCCAAAAAAAATTGGTTTGTGTTCCCAAAAAAAAAAAGAAAAAGTTTTAGTTGATTTAGGATGCTTCATGCTCTTTTGAAGATTGCTAGGTTCAGTTGTTGTTTTATTCCCGGTCGGGCTGTTGCTTTCAAGAGTGGGCGTGAAAGGAGGGGGCACAGCACTTTTGGCACGAACACAATTTCTACTTCTTTGTTTGTTTTCGGCTCATCTTCTGACGAGCGCAGGGCAAAGATGGATTAAAGAAATCCTAAGAATCTCTCAATCCGCTTCTTTGTTGCGAGCGAGACACGTTTAATTGCTTGACGTCAAGATTGTGATGTTGTGCCGGCTTTTCTGTCTGAGCAATTTACTAAGTGGCTTGAAGTTTCTACTTAACCACCATCTTTGGGGGCGCCTCAATGCGGTTTAGAGCTACTCCAAATTGTTGAGTTTGTGGCTCTGCAAACATTGGTGAGCAAGCAGCTAAGGGAACTTCCTGATATACAAAGAATGAAGTAAGGGGCGTTATTCATTTTCTACTCATCGATAAAAGACAATGAAATAGTTGGGTTTGATCGATCCTTATGGGATGGGATACCCACACCCAAAACAGCCGCGTATTTAATGTGACCATAGAATAGAAGCCTGTAATGTTATTCTCCAACAAGAAAGTTTGCTGTACAAGCCTGTTTTTTTGCCATGCAATTATTTACCTAACTAGCCGACCTCGGAAGGACGAAAGCCCAGATCAGCCTGGTGGAGATCGATGAGGACGAAACGGAGACTACATGCCCTTGTGACTTATTCGAATCTCCACCCTTTAAAAAATTTTAAAAAATGGAACGATCTTTACTATATATAAAGCAGTCCTATTAAAGGCACGAGTGGCGATCGGATTGTGGTTTCATTGTATTTAGGAATTACACAAGCGAAGAGGAATCTTGATGGGAAAAAAGGCAAAAGCGGCATTAAAAAACCGTAATTCCTCTTCTGAGATCGACCGTGGCACGACGGAGAGACACAGCGCTGCGAGGAGAGGGAAAACGCGAGAGAGCACGTCGTACGTGAGAGGACGCAGTTGCCATGTATGCTGCCATTGAAGCAACCGCAGCGATCAAGTGAAGGCATTAGCTTCGTCGTCGAGCATTTCCAAATCGCACCAGTATAATCACCGTTTTGATTGGGTCCTCCTACCTCACTCAAGGAGTAATTGCTCTGAAGTTCTAGTTCGCGACCCGTGCCTTTAAGTTTCGCAAACAACCTTCTAATGAGGATAATAGCGGGAATTTGAATGTGCACAACAGAGAGTTGAATTCACTTCAGTTATATAAGCATAATAATTATTTGATGGATTCGCGAACTGAGCGTGCTCGCGAGTGGGGATATGCTTACTGAGAGTCGTTCTTTTCAATGAACTTGGAAGTAAGCGTGAGTAAGCTCTCTATACGCATTGGAGATTTCAATATAAGTTTGATTCATTGAGGGACCCCAGAAGAAGTTACGGTAAGCGTAACGATAGAGTTTGAACACTCCGTAGAGGTAGTTTTGAAACACCTTGATGAGATCTTCTCGCAGTTCATCCTTTTTACATTCTTCCTAATCCTCAACTTATAAGGAGTGGAGCAAATACTAGCTTTTTATTCCCTCCCCTGAATTAGTTTCCTAACCATACAACCCCGCTTTACTCGCTGCATATTTGAAAGCCAAGGACAGGAACATGCGACGTTGAAAAAACCATAAATTCACACGACGTTCAGTTAACCAATGACCTTCTATAAAATGGCTTTATGCCAATTAAACCACGTTATGGGCTGGAAGGTATCACGATATCTGTAGCTACGGTACGTGCGTGGAATGAGCAAGATGATTGCCATGCGATGCTGACTAGGCTTCACATGGCGTATGATAGTGATTCATTATCTCGAAATGGAGAGAGAACACGACCTTACGCAGCGGTATCCCCTGTCCCTAGAACAAATTTCTGATTTGGACATGCCCCTCTTATTACATTCTCCTCCTCCTAACAGGGCCCATTTCTAAAATTTTCCTTCCCATTCTCATCTTACTTTCTTCCCTGAATTTATTCCTTAGCAACAGCGGGAGGTTGGGCGGGGTTTTGCAGATAGATTCCCGTGTTCGGCAAGGTTCTTAGTCTTTCGCTTTCTAGATCCAGAACTTGAGTATGGAGAAGAAGACGCGCTACTTGGCGATTGTTGGTTGATTCAGAGCTTTAGCACTCATCCTCTCTTCTGAGCTAAAAACCTAGAATCGGTTGTTGAAAAGTCAATATAGCGATTGGAAGAGGATTTTCCTTCAATCCTTCTTCAGCGTAAGATTTCAGTCCAAAATCTTCGGAAGATTGCTGAATACGGTAACAAAACTAAATCAAACCCCAAATTTTTCTACTGAACTATTCGCTGGCAGTAGCGGAAGTGACTCGCCTCATGGCACGGACCGTTCTCACTTTTCCGGCCCCGGCAGGGAGGACTGCAGTGTGTTACTGGATACCCTGGTGTACAAGCGTTATGAGTCCGAAAGTGTAGGTTCTTCACTGGCAAGCCCATCGTAATGAGGTGCGTTAAGCCCTTAAATCATAAGGGTACGTCTAGTAGGCATCTCATCGGAGAAGGGCCTCAGAGCTACAATTTGCATCGTCAAGAACGCTAAACAGTTCCAACGGTAGAATAATTCCTAGACGCAAAAGCACCAAGATGAATGATCGGTCAGCGCAAGACAAACTAGAAAGAAGTCTCTTCAACCTGCCTGTAACCCTTTTACAAATTACAGCCCAAGCCACGTATCGGTGGGGGGGGCGTGGGGGGAAGGTAACGTAAGATTCTTCCACCACCTCTCCTCAGCGCTTTTTCCCGTAACGCAGAATTCCCCACCAAGTCCCTCCAATCCTTTTCCCCTGGGTATTCTAACTATCGGATGCCTGGAATGGGTGAAGATTATTAATGCAGCTTGTTGACGTTACTCCTCATTTATTTCGCCTCCCGTGAGAATTATAGTGTATGCAAACAAAACCCTGTGAATATTACGAAAAGCACTGTCTATATGAGGTCCCATAATGGAAAGAATAGGCATTTATCAAGCAGTACAATGCTAATCATTTTGCGAAACATGAAAAAACCTAACAAATGTAACCTCAATACACCTATTTTATTCTCGAAGGATACTCCCTGCAAAGCATATCCAGACAAGCATTCCGATGGCGTTGTTCAGAAACTTGACTGACCCATTATTGACTGCTACAACCAGTGTTGATCATTAGCTTATAGCTGTGGATTCGTGTATCTTTTGTCCCACGAGATAGGCCTACAGGCATTCCCCGTGCTCTCAAGGAAGAACGTCATGCCGGCCCCCCAAGGCATTGGGCACTATAGGGGTTCTTTAGTTATCTTTTTATGGGTCGGACAGCAGCCTTTATCCTGACGATATTCGTTCCGCCTCAAAGCACGTACACAACGACATGAAGACCAATGTACGGGATGTCGGTTTAGTGAAGACGGAATTATTACTCGATCGCCAATTTTTTTATAGTTCCATTTCCAAGTCGCTCATGTTAGACAGCAGTAGAACTATCCTGTGGATTTTGCTCGATTTTTCTTATGCTTAAACTTCCAGAATCTTTTCTTAAAACTGATTTCTTTCATATTTATTTCAGGTAAGGTAACTTAATTGAGTCCCTGATATTCGCTTGTAACTAGAACCATGACACGGCTTCAGTTTTTTTGCATGTAGCGCTTCAAACGCTTCAAATTACAGGTTTGCGACGATGAGTGGCACTCGTATTCGTTGTTGTTCAACGGAGTCGACGACGTGAATTTGATGATCGACGGCGCTGCCTTCAAAGCAGATGAACGAAATCCGGAAATTCTGGATGATTGGCCGCTTCATCAGACCACCGCCGTGGTAAGACTTGAAATCGGTTCCAAGACGGTAACTTATGGTTTAAATTTCCTTTTCCAGAAGACCCGACTCGTTGTTGGAGCATGCTGGCACGGACGACAACAGGCGATGGCACAACACTTCAAAGGTAAGGACCATCAAAAGCTGCTCTTCCCTTCCAACACGTGATTTCCTCATTTCAGGATCGCTTTCGGCTGTGTATCTTCTCGTTGGAGAAACTGAAAGTCAATCAGCCATCGAGTGTGCGCATCGCTGTCCTGAACAACTGCAGTACACGGGAATGGATGAAATCATCGAGGGACAGGTGAGGCGCTATAGTTTATGCCCAATATAACAAGAGTGAGAAAGCATTCGTTGTTGATGAACCTCATTCTGGAATGCGCCATGCATTCTACAGCTTTTCAAAACCGTATAGCATGTATATAAAACATGCGTACGCATCTACATTAGTAGACTGATAGATCCCAGCAGATAATGTCGTTGAGTTTTCAGAGCGTCACCTTCGGTATCGAACAGTCCAGCGTCACCGTGAAAGCAGCGAGTGAGGAGGAGATCACTAAAATGCTGCGCCGGGTTTGTATACAATATTACATTGTAATTATTATAGTGCAATTATAATAATGTTTTGTTATGTTTATTGAAATCGCTTTTGTAGATCTCTTATGTGAACACGCAAGAGAAACCGATTCCTGGACATCGACCATGGATTCTGACCACGACCGTCGAATGTTCACAAGGAAAGCAGGTAGGATTTGTAAAAGTCAGATCGAAGAAAAACCCCCTGAATGTTCCATTCAACAGGAAATTTGCTGTAGTTCTCTGCAACAAGGTTTTGTCGGAGAAGGAGCTTTATGATAGGCACAAAACCCTAGGAGAAAAAAAAACCCAAGACTCTCTCCACGCAGCTTTTTTTTCGTCTAAAGTTAGGCGCATTGGTGAGCTATGAACCCTTTAAAGCAACAGTTCAGGGAGGGTCCGAAAATTTCAATGCCACTACTACTGAGGGATACACGAGCCCTAGTGAAGAACATATGCAGTGGAAATAATAAACGAACTTACCTCAGAAACTCAAAAACAGGGTGGAAAGTCCCTCAAACATGGGTGTTCTTGGGGATTTCCCCAATCCCGCCCCCTTGCCGGCCGTCATTGGACGCGTCGGCAATCGTGCTCGTTTTGGGACCACAGGGAAAATTGATTGAAAAATGGAGCGCGTTTACAGCGGGCACGTTCAGACAACTCGTCCAACGTGCGTCTTTATCCATTGCTGAGCGGCAGAGGGAGAGTACCTGTCTAAGACCCTCCCCGACGTTTTTTTCCAGTTTTTCATACATTAATCGTCTGGTTTTCATCTACAACTTCATTATTGGTGGTTTTTTCCCGCGAAACCGTTCCTGAACTGTTGCTTTAAGCTTATTTTTTCGAATACGGTGCCAAGTATCATCACTAGCCCAAGGCTAATAAGGGTGTATGGTAACAAAGTTCAATCGAAAAAATACCGAAAGAGTTAAAAAATCAACTTCTAACACTTGCTTTGCTCAGCTTTCCTCGGAACTTCCTCTTTTTTCATGCCCTTATTCAATCAAGCATGTCTATGTATTATGTATGGATTGTATCGATGTGGTCATGTGGTAATTCATTATTCGGGAGGGCGCTCATGTATTGCAAGGTGGGGCCGACATCAAGTAAGGAGGCCGCTTACGAGACTTGGACAACTTTAGGGGGAGATGGGGGAGATGTAAGCATTGTTGTCCTTTTATAACGTTCACTCACCGTCCCTGGGCTCAAAGTGCTAGTGTACCTACTACCGTCTAAATCCCTGTTTGAATGTACTCCGTCTTCGCACCCTCCCCAAGGATGTGAGCGCCCCTCAACAGGACTTGGTGTCCGATAGCGGAATGCGATGACCAAAGCCTTCCTATAGCCGACTGTGTGACATCACATCCGATTTTGCGCACTTGAAGTGCAATCAGGGGAGCGTGCGATTTTGTGAAGCAACCGTAGGAATTTGAGAATTGGAAAAGAAGGCAAAGAGTGCACGGTCAATGAGAAACTCGTATGAAGAAATAATCTCTGTACCCAGCAGCCTGGATCAACACAGTTGGGACTAACAGATACAATAGAGGGCGCTATTGCAAGACACATGTCCTCCTCCAAAACTGAGCCTAGGAAGAGGCAGGAATTCTGGAGTTATTGCAAACTGAGCGCTCCTTGGGTTCGTCCCCCGCCTCAGGCATAATCTCAAAAAAATGAAGGTGCTTTTCGCGGTTTCAAATGCATTGCCACGGTAATAACCCCGTACCTTGCGATAGCGCCCAATAGAGTAATTGAAATAATATCCTTGCATAAGCTCATTGCTTCGGCTAAGAAACACCTGCGAAACTGTAAGAGTTTTCTATTTTTTCTTTGAATTTTGAAACAGAATCTTCTTAATAGTGGAATGCTCAAGATTTCTAAGGTCCCTTGTAGACTAGTGTTTCGGCATTGAGTTAGTTTGTCGGAGAGTTCTCACAGTGACTTACTTTTCTGAAGATTAGCTACAAGAAATTTTCCTGCATTTCCCACATTCTCATTCTTCCGCATGACTGGATTTGCTGGGGCGTTAGCGATTAGCTGGGAGGCTAATTTGTATACTCTAGCATGTATCGCTGCCGCTCTCATGTAATTGCGATAAAGTACTGAGAAGACGAATCGATTCGTGTGCATGCGTGGGGCAGAGATTCCGGAAATGAGCTGAGGTTCTCCGAGAACTAATCTCGTCATGAGGGGCTTTAATATGAGCTGATGGCCTTTTTTCTGTATCGAATGTGAAAGTCATGTGAAGGACATTCTGAATACTCGGGAAAAGTTGAGATATGGGTGAGAAGAGGACAGCCATCAGGGCCTGGGGATTAGGAATTTGTTAGAAAATCCAAGTTAGGAATCTCAAGTATTCAATAAAGCTGCCGTTGTCATCGAGGTCCTCTAACGGACGCAGCAACGGCTCCATCCGTCCCTTAGCGTGCCGGGATACTTCATGGGATTCCCTCGCTCAAGGGACACTTAATCCATTCTTTTCGTTGCAGAGCTTCGTGAAGAAGTCTGAATATCATGCCGGCGGTCGTCCAGGTGTTCGTTTGACGTCCCGAGGGATCCAGTCGGTAACCGCTCTGGTCCAACGGTCATCGCAAAATCGCATGACGTGTCCGGCCCACCTTATCTTCGATTCCTTGGCGAAAACGGCAGCGTCCCTGATCTTCGATCGTTGGCGTAGTTCGGAACTTCGGATTTCCGTCTGCACTTGCGTCAATTCGTCTGCAGCTCCAATTGTCTGCTAAAGAAGGTGCCCGTTTGGGCCGCCTGCTCGAACTGATTTGATAGTTGAAGGAGGATTTAGAGTGAGCTCTATAAAGAGCCGTACCAATTAACCTCGTGGTTTCCGAGCAAAATTCTCAGTTCAATTTCATTTTCTTACGTACCATCGCTTTTCTCCGGTCAGACCCTTTGAACCATTTACGCGCTTGCAGACTTTTTAGCCGTGGAAATTTATAATAGAATCATTCGTCGTGATTTATTTCATCAGGGTGAGCTGCATGGAGGACTTCTCAGAAAGGGACCGTATTGGCCCTAGTGGGAGGGGGCGGGCCGTGTTTCGCTTTCTCTTGGGTAGACGGATCGTAGGTTATAAGTTTGAGGTAGTAGGGAATAGTAAAGTCGTGCCAAAGGTAAAAGTAAAATAGGTTAGATTAACAATAGAAAAATTTAGAATTGAAAACAGTGCAGTATTCTCAAAGCGGCTGCTTCAGCAGTTACATGATGTGCCTGTCGTCTGCCTCTCCCCTTTCACATCTGCACACTTTTTGTCCAATTTTAACACATTTTCAATCCCTCCTATCCCACCAGGGAGGGGGGGTGGATGGAAGGAATTGAAAATGTGTTGAACATAGTATTAGCTCAACGACGCCTTCGACCTCACATCATCATCCTCGGAAGCGAGGGCACAGCGCACGGGCGAGGAGTTTCACCTTAATTGACAAAAGTGCTTTTATTTTGAGACCCCTCTACTTCTGTCAGGGTTGCTACGTTATTGAAGGCCTGCCATTTCAGATAGATCGAAGGGAAGAGAAAAGTCGGAACTGCTTTGCGAGCGGTCAAGATTTATGATACTGTTTGCGCTTAGCAACACGTAGTTGACTCTGATCAAAGAACGCTTTAACGCTAGCTTTTTCCAGTGGGGAATACTCTAGTAAGAACAGTTGTAATGGACAACGCAAGTACTAAGTCTTGCTGTCAGAACTGAAGGTTCTCACTAGCACATTCTCCAATTATTTGTCACCACATTCTGACGTAAAGCTCAGGATACGGGTTTACGGGAATGACGTCGGTGCCATAAAGACGCTGTGGGCTTTTTGAAAAGTTACCGTAATCCCTGTGCGTTGTTTAGCAAGGGATGAGTGCATGTGAAATTACTAGTAATTGGGACCATACCTACGGCTACAGTAGGAGTTCAAAGATCACACAGTACTGCACCCATCTCATTACCCAGAACTGGTTGCTGTGGAGAATTAAGACTCCTTTCCGATCCAGTGGGTTCTCGAAGTTCAACAAGCTCTTTCAAAAAATGAGAAAAGAGTATTGGGTGCAGACCATACACCACAAGTGACGACGGCCTCCAAGTAAATCTGGTTAGTAGTGGTTCATAGTGATAGCTGATTTTTGGTAAATGATAGTTGTAATTAGTGACAACTGATAGAATACAACTGCAACAGGCTAATCATTTCATTGGCAGAAAACATTTACATTTTCTGGAAGCCGTCGTCACTTGTGGTGTATGGTCTGCACCCGACGCTCTTCTCTAATTTTGGAAGGGAGGGTAATTGTGCCGAAATAATGAGGCTATTTGGCGCTCATTGGATGACGTTGAAAACTACCAACAGGGAACTGCGCTAAACGGGATAGGTGATAGCTCAGGCAGTTTTATATTCCCTTGGCCCTTTGAGAATGACGATTTCTCGATTTACTAGAAATTTGGTACTATAGTAACCTATAGGGGGGGGGGGGGTGTTGGGAGAACGAAAAATCTTAAACCACCTCGAAAATCGATTTTTCTTTTACAGAAGACTACGAGCAAGATAGGGGATACCCCATCGTGGGTGAACAATTTTTCCCCCAAGGTCCTGCCCCCTCCTAGGTGTAGTATCCAATGCCCCCATATGTTGCGATAGCTCCAAAAATTCTACCAAGTAGTGCATGTTTCCATCCACAAAACATGTTCCACTACACAGTAGCTTTCTGCAGTCCTGTGGGCCTTTTCATTCTCTGCAATCAATGCCACCTCCTTATTCAAGGGTCTTCATTATAAGGCCTCTAGGCTATGCATAATCTCACATGATTAAGGGAGCCACAGAATCCTTTTATCTCATTTTGTGAAGAAAAACGATAGAGATGGCCAGCGTGACTGACAGCTTCCATTTCAGCTAACCCTACCTGCTGTCAAGGGATACGTGTTTGTGGAACGCGAACCTGAGCCAGTGCTATCTCTTTCGGGTTCCGTAACCCTGGATGTTGATCAGCATTCTGTCAAAGTTGGTACACCAATGATCTCGGATATTCAAATCACCGTCAGTCAAACCGGAGCCAGTAAGTTCAACCATCTTAGCCTAGGATGTGCCGTGCACTTTGTAGAACCTATCGATTTCAGACGGTGAAGTGAAGGATGTGACATCAAAGCACGTGCTCGATTATTGTAAGGTGCATCTGAAGCCGTCACGAGACATGGATCTCGAGTACTTCTCATCGCCAGCGTCACTCATCGCCTCTCTTCAGATCGATTTCGAACACGATAAAGAGGTTCGTACGGGATGTTAATCTCCATACTTCTTACTAAAATTAAATTCTTCGTAGACGCTCAGAAGCCAGCCATTAATTCAAGCTTCTGCTCAGTCAAGCTGCCTTAATTTAAATCCGCCGTCAATTCATCAATGTCCGAGTGGCTTTCGCCGCGACGGCAATCTATTCATAAGTTGAAGTCCGTGTGAATTGCAGCTGACAACTCAAGAGGACACTCAAAAATTCTGAAAAATTGAATAGAAAAGGCGGCCCGTGGCCGAACAAAGTTCCCAGCTTTTATTCTGCGGCGAAGGCTCATAGGGTTTTTTTTGTTCGCATTCAACAGAAAAAAACTCGAGTGCATGATGGAGCAACCTCCACGCAGCAATGAAATATTCAGGGGGTAGCCCGTTTGCTAAGCGCCTGAAAGATTTCCTTCTAGGTTTGATTTCATAAAACAGTTGTCCAACTGGCATTTTAACCTGATTTAGAAGCTTGTAACCCTTTCCTCCCCACCCTTCGGCTATCCCCCTCAATACTTCAGGCCTGTAATCATCCTTACTGTCCATGGACAGGTCAAAGCGTGACAAAATATTGAACCACTTGAAACGTCTTTGTGGGTTTGTTAATCCGCCCCCTCCCGTCCTAATGTTGACAGGCAGGGATACTCCATGGGTCAAAGCACAGACCTATCACCTCGTTCTGCTTCGGCGGTATCGACCTTGGTCGAAAGAAATTGTCTGACTTTCACCGATTGCCGAACCCCACTGAGCAGTTTTCTGTTGGGATGGCTAAATACGCGTGCCTGTGACTAACTATTTCTGAAGAGAATCTCACATGTATGGCGCATCCTCAAAGGACAAGAACGCGATTCACGTCATGAGGTTTTTAGCAGTTTGCAGGATGAGGCGTTCTTTCTGCAAGTCAACTGGTCCCGAGAGGCATAACTGCACGACTTTTTGCTGAGCATTTTTGATTCCAGTGCTCCTTTTTTTTTCTGGCCTTTTTTGACCAAACACGACTTCCCCTTTACTTTCTTTTAGTCACTTCCAGTATCGCTCCAACGAGACCCATAGAAAGTCACTTTTCGAGCACTCCCTGGCCAGCACTTCGCTTCAATTCCGAATTGTACTTAGCAATTTGCTTCGGGCATTTTTTTCGAGTTTTTTTTTGCCTTCCGGGCGGGAGAACGTCGACGAAGTTAGGGCATGGCGAACCTCATCCGTGATTCTTCGTAACGCCTGAGGGGATGCTGGACGGACGGGGGGACGGCCGTCGGCCGATGTTTGTTGACGACGGGTGGAGTGGTGAACGATTGATGCATAGCACGGCATCACGTGCGCGCCTATTGACCAGCTACATATGGATCGACTGGCTTTTCTCTGAAAAGGAATTAAGTAGTGAGTTCGCCTGCCAGGCTCGTGGAACTCAAATTGGTGTTTGTGTGGGATCCGCCGTGTTCATGTGCTCCTCACCATTCATCTGATTCTGCACCGAGCTTGCTTGAGCAGATTAAATCTGCTTGGCCAGATCCACAATAGGACCAAAATCTAAAGATTATGGGGCTCGTAACTCGTCATCGAATTAATAGGCACTAAATATCATCATAAATCAGGCGTGATTAATTGTTGACTATTGGGTGCACAATTAAGTCTGGCATGAAGCAAGGTTCTACAGTACACTTTACGTGTTTTATTTTACGCCTAATATTGTAGTGCGAACTTATTGATATAAAACACACCAATCTACTGTTGTGCACAGCTAAAATTTGACTTTTTTTCGTAATTGCAGATACGTGGATTGTTATATCTGGCCACATTCCAATGATAGGCTTACCCCTGACTGCCCTGATTCTCCACTCTGAGTCGGATTTGGCTGAGATTCGTCCATGGTTTGGTAGGAAGTTATTTCCGGGGGTATTTCCACTTGTAGAACACCAATATCAAACCCCTTCAGCGCGAAACGTCTGGCGCCAGCGCCACAAGCGCCGGCGTCATAACATAGTCAAACTATCCCTGACGACAAGTTTCCAGCTAATTTGGTAATCCAAGGTGTTCTAGCGCCTTTTGCGAGAGCACTTGTGGCGCAGGCGCCAGGCGATTTCACGCTAAACGAATGTCATATCGTGTTTTACGGGTTAAACTATCCCCGGGGGTAACTAGCCAAATTCACAGTCATGGACAAAATTCAATAAAAAAATCCAACCAGATGTCGAGGAATGGAGAAACTAAAGGGTCAATAGTGCGTTTTTACCCTACGAACCACTCCAGTCTCAACTGACCAGTAATAGACCAACCAAGGAGTAGAATTCAAGCTGGCTGATGAGATTTGATCCTGAGGGCTACGCAGAACGCAAGCGGCGCTTCTAACCACACCCTTATAGTTCCCCTATTGAAGCTTCATAGTTCACTTGAAATAAAATGTCGATCTCGTGAAGGCTTCCTTTTCGGGTTGCGCCATGCATTCGCATTCGTGTGCCTATGTGAAGGTATGCAAAGTCTATGCATCGCCTCTCTGACAGTCAACACTCCAATTAATAGTTTCACATCTCGGACTACTCTCACTGTAAGTAATCGTCAGCAATGAGAGGAAAAGCATGAGCTTGAGCGAATCGAACGGACTACTTCAAGTGTGTGAAAATGCGCTTTCAGCGACAGAATTGTACTCGCTCATATTCGAACACATCGATAGTGCGAGACCTGATTATGCGTAAATAAATCGGATTAAACGGGGTATAAGTCAATCATGCTTATTAGATATTTCACGTAGGTACACCCTGCTAAGCTTATTGTCACCCATGTACACCCTTGCCTGGTTATTGTACTTCCATGCCCTTTTGCAGATCTTACCAATCTCATTGGGTTTTCGGCTGAAAAGCGCCGCGAATGTAGTGCTGTCCCTTTTCGTATACACACGATTTCCGTTTCTGTTCGAATCGTTGAAGTGTTTGTATACGGTAATAGTCCATGCAATGGATTGCGTAGCCAGTTATTGAGCATGCCAACGTTTTTCTTTGCTCAGACACTGGCACCAATTAATTGACTCCTAGAGGAATGGAAGATTTAATTGATTTAGGACGGGTATCGATTATGCAAGCGTGCAAGCACGATACGATTGCTAGCACATAAACCAGCAGAGTAATTGATCTAAATAAACCCTGCAATGATGGAATTCCCAGCGCTGGTACACTCAAGATCACGCTACGCGTTCGATTTTTTGTCAAAGCTGGCATTTGGTGACTTTTTGGGCTTTTCTCCTCGCAAAACTGTTCTCACCACTTTTCTTGCCTATTTTCAACCACACCAACGACCTGTGGCCTTTAGTTTCGTTGAGGGTCTATATCATGGTCGGTCAAATGACTCGCATTGCGTGTTTTTTTGAGCGTTCTAGTCCATTTTGTCTCCCTCGCGATCATGCGATTGAGGCCTGAGCAGGTTTGATCACAAACCATGCTTTGTGACAAATGGCGCATTGCCACACTCCCTTTTGTAAATAAATTATCTATGGTTTGTATCAAGAAATTATTAAGTTCTTTCTATGAAATTTATCAATTTCAGGGCATTCTGCTTCGTGGCGAGGAAAGCGTAAAAGGCTACCGTGAAGTCTTGTCGAAGATTCACTACTTCAACACAAGACCGGACACCTACAGTAAACGTATTTATACTGTACAGTGCGCTATGCTTAAAGGACGAGTGCACAGCAATGAGCTGGTGATTACGGTATGTTTTTTAGTTCAAATTTCCTTTTTCTTTTTCTTAGCGAGCACTTCTCTGTCCTCCTGGCCCTTTTTCAGGAACCTTTTCACCTCGATTTGATAATAGGTGGACCATTTGGGGCATCATTTCAGGAAAACAGAAGTAGGAAGAAGAGTTGTATGCGCCTTGGCCGCGGAAGTAGGAGGATGCTCAGATATAATGAAGTTCGTCCTAGTTCCGGGTCCTCGATCAGCATTCACCAGGCGCGACACGCACCGCCTCCGCGCTAATATGCCCGTAGATGTTTTTCTTACGCCTGACAGCTTTCTGATCGACTGTTGATACGGATGCATGAGCGTGACGTTCAACGTCCATGAGCTCAATTGGCCCCCAGTGGCTAGGCGCCTGGATGCTGCAGTGACGTAACTGCGAGACTTCCAGGAAGCAAGCTATGCGTGTAATTTGAGATTCCCCAGGTGACGTAATCATTAGGGGAATGTTCCGGAACGGAATCACCTCGAATCAGTATTAAAAGAATTTCACTGGGACCTGAGCCCTGCCCTACGCGGATGCCTGGGCGATGTTGCTGTCTCAGGGACGTCACGTATCGATTGCAATCTGATTCCTCATTCTTCTTTCTCCATTCATTTAATCTTCCAGTAAATACGTCGCCTCAAAGGAGACGCTCCGAGCCAACCCGGTAAACAACGACGACATTAACTCAAAAGAAATGATGGAAGGACGTCATAAAGGGGATTCTCGTGAGGTTGGCTTGATGACGGCGCATAGCCGAGACAAAAGGAGTGGGAAGGTTTTGGAAGAATAGGGATCACTAGGATTATGCCGGATGACAATTGCATATAATACCGTCTTGATTTACCGCTGACCCTATTGAAGTCTACCTGTGTGGAGCGGAAGAATCTGGCAGTAACCTATGGAAAATGTTTTTTGCACTGAGTAAGGCTCACAAGTGCGTCTGTGCATTCGCTCCCATAGTAAGGCAATTCAGCGGAACGGCTGGGAGGCTTTGGAGTGCATGCACGCCTACAGATGGGCCTAAACAATTACTCAGGCAATTCGCTCATGACCCGACACCGCTGCACGCTAACCTCTCTCTCGCGCCCGTCGCACCTACCCGCAAGCGGGGCTCTTACTTGACAGGTAGAGATTAGAACCCTTAAGAAAGGACGAAGGCCCTAGCGACCATACTTGCCGCGCAGATTCTGCAAGACACTGGGGGTCTTCTAGAGCAAGCGTAACACATAACATCAGAAAGTAGTTCAGGTGAAGCCAGAAAAGGCCCAGCGGGCGACTCAGGAGTCCTGATGTGTACTTCGTCTAGCGAAGTGTTGTGATCCAGATCAATTCGTGGCTGAGGAATATCACCTTCGATGCGCACTGAGACATGGTGAAAAGCGGGTTGTTGTGCTACTTTTAAACGGAAAACACTCGAGAATCATTTTGTCAAAGGACTTCTAGCTGCACTTATGCCACTTGCTGAAGGTGTTGGAGGCCGTTCGCCTCCTCTTGAAAGCGAGGCTTGCCCAACCTTGGCCTGTGTTTTGCCAGCTCCCAAATTTCTGAGTTGAACATTAAGGTTATGGGGTCGTCACTCGAAGTTCACTCCTCGACACTATTAGAAATCGGGACAGTCCCTAGACACTTGAGTCTCACTAGTTCATAGACAACATGTATTCAAAAATTTTTCCGAGACCTTTTTCCTCCTGCCGGTTAGAAGGCAACAGTTCAGGGAGGGTCACAGAAAATTTCAATATACACTACTACTGAGGATGCACGAGCCCTATATGCAGGTGGAAATAATTAACGAACTTACCTCAAAACTCAAAAACAGGGTGGAAAGTCCCTCAAACATGGGTGTTCTTGGGGATTTCCCCAATCCCGCCCCCTTGCCGGCCGTCATTGGACGCGTCGGCAATCGTGCTCGTTTTGGGACCACAGGGAAAATTGATTGAAAAATGGAGCGCGTTTACAGCGGGCACGTTCAGACAACTCGTCCAACGTGCGTCTTTATCCATTGCTGAGCGGCAGAGGGAGAGTACCTGTCTAAGACCCTCCCCGACGTTTTTTTCCAGTTTTTCATACATTAATCGTCTGGTTTTCATCTACAACTTCATTATTGGTGGTTTTTTCCCGCGCGAAAACGTTCCTGAAACTGTTGCTATGCCTTTAAACGAATTGGGGGAGGATTCCGAGGTGCTGAGGAGCTCCGATGCCCGCTGGAAGCCTCTCCAGCATAATACGCAATGATGCGCAATGCAGCTGGCGAATTTTTAGCGCTCGGCTTCAGCTGTCTTCGGGTGACTTGATTCCGATCGATTGCCATTTTCTGACATTTGACTTGCTGTCCTCGTCGCCGTAATTGAAAACCATCCGAGCACTTATCGCGAAATTACCATCTTCACTGCTGCCGCTCGGACGCTTCACCTCCCCGTCACCCTTGTTGCATCTGCCCTGTTTTTCCAACGCGCTTGCCCTTTTCATGGCTGCTTTGAGCCACGAGAGTTGTACTCATTTAATACGCACTCGCCAACTTGAAAGTACTCTCAGAGTTCGTAAGTTCTGGAATTTGGCTGCGGATGGATAATCTTTGTGCGAAAGTTCAGCCGGATATACCTTGAGCGGATTATCAGTTCTTATCGGATGTGCTCCTCCCTCTTAGAGCAACTTGGCCGTGGTGTCTCCTGGGACGTGCTAGGCGATTTTCGGCGCGAATAAATCATGTGTAATTCTAGTCGTAGTCACTAACGAGCCGCGACAAACATAACACGTTTTCCAGTAGAGCTTTTCAGGCTCTGCGCTCGCCACTCGGCGACCGCCCCCGATTTCCCCCTAGGGCGATAAACGCCAGTGCGAGCTGGGACGAAAAGCCGGCAATTAAACACTTGTGAGTTGCAGTTGTGTCTACAACCAACTCGTACGAAGCCCAAAAGGTCCATGATATTCTGGATCATTCGGCACGACCGTGGTCCCAGATCATGTGCGAGCTCAGCAGGCCTCAAATCTCGGCCAAATGAGTACATGCAGTGCACTTTTCGCCACATCCGCTCAATTTCTCCGCACAAAATCTTGTGCGAGCGGAGGCGGAGCAGCGCCGTCACGCGCCGTTCTTGATCCGCACTACTTACTGCTTGCTCTCCTGCCGTGTCTATCCCAGCCCCGGGCCACATTTCTCCATGGCGCAGCGCATTCCGCACTTCTGACGCGGTCGGCCGATTGATGAGGCCAATCGTAGGCATTTGTTGTCGTGCCCGTCGGAATTTTTCCTGTTGTTCAAAGGTCTGCCATCGATTATCCAGTGGCCCTCGACTTCCGCTTGGCCAGTTAACCACCACCAAAAGCCTTGAGTTTGTCGTTGCATTGCTCAGCCTTGTCGTTCGAAACTCATCAAAAGTGCATTTTATGTTTCATTCATCTCTGCTCAGCCAGTCGGTGTTCTACTGTTCCCGCTTTCCGTAAGGTTCTACTTTTCAGATGACGATCAGGCCGTCGACTTCCGATGCGCCGGCAGCGTCCATTTCGTCTACCGAGAATTTCGACAGCTTGGATATGCTGGAGAGGCATTTCGAGCCGTCCTTCGATCAACTCGGCAGCAATCGCCTCCAGAACATTCTCGAAATGGACCTGCCCCGACCGAAGGCACTGCTCTCACATCACGGCTACGAAGTGGGACAAGGCGCTATCGCAGGTAAGCCAGCCGTCTCCTCTTCATTTTCAGCTCATGTTTAATCCTTCCATATTTCAAGGTGGTGCAGTGGCCGTTGTCGTGGTCATTTGTGTCGGATTTCTTCTTGTACTTCTCGTGATTGGCGTGCTGAAAATGAGAGACACACCTTTGCCGCGTCGACGAAAGAACAAACGACAGGTTTCTTGGGTTTTCACCTGTCTAGTCTATCACCTGTCATCAAAGAATCGTTACAGGATGACGGTATGGCATGGGATGACTCAGGAATGAACATCACAGTGAACCCACTGGACGATGTGGAGAAAAACGTCGTCGAGGACGAGTTCAGTGAGGACGACGAAAGCACTGACGGAGAAGAAAGGTGAGCAGCAGTAACCTCTGGTTTTGACTGAATAATGAATGAGAAAATGATCAGATGTTTCTGAGACCGTTGAGCTGAGGCAACCAGTGATTTCCCCCAGACCACATGCTTC